GCTTCGCTAATCATCATCTATAGCCAACTACCCCGGCCAGTGCTGCCTTATTACAGGGAACGCGTGTACTCGCACCACAGCCAACCCGAATGGTATGATGATCGCACCTATCGAAAAAGCCTATACTGACAATCCGGCACAGGCGGATGTTGCGAAGGCACCTGCCTTGCCTCTGGAGTTTGCGGCACGCAGTAAAGTGAAGTCGAGCACTTCCAGCAGTGCAGATTCTTGGAAGATATTCCAGACAAAATCTGTATTTCTGTTCGTGGCCGCCCAAATCGAGATTTGCATATTATCTATACAAGCTGTACAGTTAGTAATCCAGTATGTCGCCAACTTGGCCCACAAAGCGCAAGAAATGTTGCGTTAATTAGCTTGTATCAATGCAAATCTACTATTAGTTTTGGGGATTTTTTGTCGTCTTCTTCGTCCTTCTTCGTTTTGAAACTGCGATTTCTTTTTCTTTCTTTTCTTTTGAGAGAATACTGGACGGATGAAAACTGGGGAATGCTTCTTTACCATTGCGCAACCACACCACTCCATACTGTCGTGACTCCCCGAAGCACTCTCTGCATTCCAGACAATCAGCATGGTACGATGTCGCACGAGACGAATCCGCGCCAGTGTAGCTTCCCGGACTGGACTGCCATACACAATCTCCAACCATCATGATCATGCAGAGTATATATATCCAGATTCTTACATAGTGTTGGTTTGTAGGTATACTTGCACATCGCATCATATCACCTCAACCGTATTCGGCCCTTGTTCTTACTCTTATTCTCGTTTAGCACAAATACACATCTCATCTCATCTCACAAGGATGAAGCTCACGCCTGCAATCCTCACTCCCCTTTTAACTCTCATTATCACCACACCAGCTGCGAATAGCGCGGTAGAATCGCATTCCGACATCGATATTGCACGCGCTGCAACATGGCAGCGCGAGTCTGGAGGTGAGGGGAAGAAGTGTATCATGGATGGAGGTATGCTTGCTGTTTTCGTAATTTTTCCAAGATGAACGTATTGGATGGCTGATGAGGGGGTGTGTGTATAGGGGATTGTATTGAACGGCCCAGTGCGTGCTGCAGTGAGATGTGTTATATGAATAAGCCGGAGGGGACGTATAGTTGCTATCCTTTTTGAAGTGTTGGTTGGTTGGATGGGAGAGGTGGGGGGTAATCAGGTTACTGGGGGCTTGGTTGTCGAGTAGGTTTGGAGTGGGTGATTCGGTCGTGTACGGCTTGTGGAATTTGCGATGAGGCACACAAGCGGGGTAGTGGATTTGAACCGATGATTCTGCTCGAGTTAATCGTTGAATATTCATGGTACAGTGGTGTTGTACAGTCTTCATACTACATGGGCAGGAGGGGAGACGTGATCCCGCTGCTCGATGCTTGGGTATCACACCAACGCCAGAGCCATGCAATGCTTCTCGCGTCGCGTGTCGCCTTATTGCAGGTGCACCGTCCCATCATGGTGATTTCCTCTACTCTTCTTTCCCTTTTATCACCGCCCATCCCCACTTCCACTCCCACTCCCACTCCCCTCCCCATTGCCCTCTCCGCTCGCCTCCGTCCCCGCACTACTTTTATACGGCCGTCCTGCATAAAGCATGTATCCCTTCTCCTCAATTGTGCCAATCTTCTCATCTGCCTCTGCCCGTCCCTGGCCAAACGCGCCCGTCTCCAACTGGCCCTGAACGGCAATGGGCCTGTTGCCGCGAAAGCGCTTGCGCATGTCGATCAAGCCCTTTTTGCACTCTGCGTAGCCTTTTTGCAGTTGCTGGCATTGGGTGGGCAGTGTGTATTTTAGCGGAGGGCGGAGGCAGTCGCCGGGGGAGTGGCGCTCGATCATGATGCAGTCGCTGTTTTGGAGGCAGAATGCGAGGGCGGCTCCTATACAACTCTTAGCGCTGGATGGGATGGAGTGTCGAGGATGGCTGGGATAGAGGATGGGATGAGGGCGTGCGTACGTATATCTTTACATGATTGTGGCATTGTGAATGTAATGTGTGGGCGTGGTGTTGCACGTTCCTTGGGCAGTCGATACACTTGACTTGGCCATGGTGGAGTGAGACTGGTCGGCGATTATGTCAGCGGAATTGTTGCGCGCCAAGAGCGGCGGTATGGCGGCCCGCGGGAAGGAGCGTCATCACATGTCAAGGAACGGCATCCGGTTCTAGAACGTCATTTCTCCACATGTCGCTAGCCAGCGAAAGAGAGCAGAGGCAGAGGACCCATGATGACTGCATGGCCGTTTGCTGGCGTTTCACTCTTGCTGTACAACGAATTCACCGCTGGTGTTGTCCTGCAGCGGGGGGAAGCGTGTCGCGTGGCTAGAGTGCCGCTTTGAGCCCTCTCAACCCACTTGGACTGCGCCCCTGGTGGGGATCGTCAGGGCAGCCAGCTCAGCTCACGCTTGTGCTTATGGTATTCTTGTTATATCACACAAGACATCCCCGCCCACGTACGACGATACACGACATTGACCCGGAAGGCGCAATGGCGCTGCACATACCCTTCCTCTCGCGCCTGCACGTGCGCGAGTACTTTGCCCTCTTCGTGTCCGTCTGCCTCATCGCCCTCGAGTCCCTCATCGCCGTCATCACCCTCGCCCTGCCCACGCCCATCATCAACTTCTGCTACCGCCTCACACGCCGCCTGTTCAACCACCTCTCCTCGCCCTCGTCCAAGCGCGTGCGCCAGAAGAAAAAGGGCGTGTGGAGCTCCATTGCCACGGCCTCCGACTTCACCGAGCTGTGCGAGCTGTACGGCTACTACTGCGAAGAGCACATTGTGCAGACGGGCGATGGCTACTTGCTGGGCCTGCACCGCCTCGGCTGGCGCCAGGGCGAGGAAGATGCCCGCGTCAACTCTGGCGACCGCCACAACGGAGTCAAGAAGAAGGTCGTCTACCTGCACCACGGCCTGATGATGAACAGCGAGGTCTGGGTCTGCCTGACAGAGCGCGAACGCTGCTTGCCATTTGAACTGGTGGAGCGCGGCTACGACGTCTGGCTGGGCAACAATCGCGGCAACAAGTACTCCAAGAAGAGCGTGCACACGGCGCCCACATCCAGTGCATTTTGGAACTTCAGCATGGACCAATTCGCTTTTCACGACATTCCCGATTCCATCGAGTATATTCTGGAGACGACACACCAGCCGAGTCTGTCGTATATTGGCTTCTCGCAGGGCACAGCACAGGCTTTTGCGACCTTGTCCATTCATCCGACGTTGAATGAAAAGGTGGATGTGTTCATTGCACTCGCACCGGCCATGTCGCCAAAGGGTGTCGCATCAGGCATCGTCGATTCTTTTGTCAAGGCGTCGCCCGATATTCTCTACTTGGCCTTTGGTCGCAAGGCCATCCTTGCATCCACAACAATGTGGCAGTCCATCCTTTATCCGCCAATCTTCGTCCGCATCATTGATACCTCCCTTCGATTCCTCTTTGGCTGGACAGCCGTCAATATCGCACCGCACCAGAAGCTCGCTGCTTACCCACATCTTTACTCGTATAGCTCTACCAAGAGTGTAGTCCACTGGTTCCAGATCATCCGCAATGGTACTTTCCAAATGTACGACGACGATGGACCAAGCCCACTTTCAAATCGCAGCAAATACTACAAGGTCGCCAAGTTCCCCACTCGCAACATTAAAACACCCATTGTGGTCATCTACGGAGGTTCGGATAGTCTTGTCGACATGGACATCATGCTCAAGGAGCTTCCTCGCCACACCGTCACCAAAGAGATCCCACACTACGAGCATCTCGACTTTCTCTGGGGTGAATCCGTCCACACCCTCGTTTTTCCCCATGTCTTCGACGCCCTAGACAAACACGCACACAAAGACGACAGCTGTGCGCTCGAAGGCCAAAAGGAAAAGCGCTGGCGTTCACCCGGTCGATACCGCGGCCTCCTCACTCAAGCCGAGCGCCCAACCTTAGTAGAAGAAGACGAAGAAGCCGGCGATGAAAGCGCAACATCCCCCATTGGCCTTCGCTCTCGTAAAGTCCGCCCCCTCTCCATGGACGGCGCGCTCCTCGAAGATCTACCCCCTTCCAACCTACCAAGCCCTCTTCCCGCATCTACAGTCCCCCACCTCGCCAGCTATGAAGCCCGCACAAATACCAGATCCGTCCACTCGCCTCCCCGCCGCACACTCATGTCCCCCCCACCTACATCCCGCGTGCCAGACGCCGCAGTAACAACCAGTCCCAACAACTCCGTCGGCGGTTCCCACGCCACAAACCAGACCTCCACATCCCGCCCCGAAGGCTGGTGGTCCAGCGACGAAGTCGCAGGCACAGAGCCCAGTCAACCCACCACACCAAAACGCCGCGGCAGCATCGGCAGCGAGAGCCAGAAGAGCGTCATGTCAGGGGGAGCGCTGGGTGGCAAGTTTAGCAACAAGGGGATCAGTGTGGGCGCCGGACGGCCGGTGAGTAGTGTTGATGTGGGGCAAGGGAGGGGTGTCCATGGTGGGAGTGAAGGGAATGGGGAGACGTTTCTGGAGAGGGCGGGTGCGGGTGTAGGTGTAGGTGCGGAAGACAGGAGAAGTAGTAAGGGCAAGTTGGTTAAAAAGAAGAGAGTTAGTCTTGCGTGAGTGAGTTTGTATATATGTTGTTTTTTGGAGAAGATTGGAAACTGACTGTTAAGCAGTCATAGCTTGGGTTTTGTCCTGCGTGTGATGTGGAGGATGCGGAGTGAAGAGAGTGCAATACATTGATTGTGCCTTGGGGGTATGAAAGGGAAATGTGGCGCAAGGGACTTGGCTCAAATAGACCAAAATGATAAGATATTTCCACATGTGCACTCTTTTTCCATCTGATTTACATTGCCAACTTCGACCCCGCACAAAAAAAACCCCCCCATCTCATCTCCGGAATATCCAGCACCGACCACAGGTTTTCGCAACCATCGACAAGCCCATAGTAGGAGCAAAAAAGCAAAGGTAGGAGAGTCAAACTCCCTTGTCTGAAGCATTATCGGATGATTCAATCGAGGTTCGAACTCGAGACCTTTCGCGCACAGCAGTATGTGAGGCGAACGTGATAACCAACTACACCACCGAACCGATTTGCTGATGGAAGAATTGCAAGATTGTTGCAATATAATTTTTACAAATTGACGAGTAAGAAGATTCTGGTGTGGAAGTTTTATCGCGTGATGCGGGCTGATGGGAACGTTAGTGGAAAGTGGGGCTAGACTGGCATGGATCACCTGACGTCTAACGTCTGGTCAGACGGTTGATTGGTAGGTATAGTAAGACGAGGTGACGCGTGAACAGCAAGCCTACTGTAGTGCGCTTGCTCAGCACTTCGCGTGCCATGTTGTAAGCTGGCGTATCTTCCAGACTCTGATTGTGTCTTGCCGTTGCGCATCAATTCTTAATTCGAGATTCGTGAAGACTACTTCCGCTGGAGGGAGATAGACATCCTGTGCAAAAGAGCTTGGAAGTTGTATTGACGTGGACTCTGCTACGCCTGATTCTGTCAGCGTACACATACCCAGAGTAGAAATGCCATCACTCAAAGAACATCTTCCATGGATAAGCTCCCCCATCATCGTCAATGCGCCCATGGCAGGCTTCGCAGGCGGCAAACTCGCTGCTGCTGTGACACTCGCTGGTGGACTGGGCATGATAGGCAGTGACAACCACATAGACCCCCTGCGCAACGAGCTCGCCATCGCATCCTCCGCCCTTCCCCCATCCCCATCCTCCTCCCTCCTCCCCATCGGCATCGGCATCCTATGCTTCCTGCTAGACATCCCCTCCATCCTATCCATCATCACAGACTACAAACCCACCGTAATCTGGCTCTTCGCCGCCAACAATATCAACGACTACGCAGAGTGGACCACCGTTCTGCGCAGCGCCTCACCAAAAACCCAAAATCTGGATTCAAACAGGCAGCGTGACCTCAGCCCTGTACCTCGCGCGCAACGCCTGCCCCTCTGCACTCGTCCTCCAAGGCGCCGGCGCAGGGGGCCACGGCTACGAAAAGACTGCTGGGATTATCTCCCTGCTTTCTAAAACCAGCGATGCGCTTGCACGCGCGGGTTTCGCACATATTCCGCTCGTTGCGGCAGGCGGGGTGGCAGATGGGCGCGGAGTCGCAGCCGCACAGGCCGTGGTAATGGGCATGCGGTTCCTCACCTCAAGTGAAGTGACTATTCATCCGAAATATCAGGCTGTGGTGCTGGAGGCGAGGGATGGGGGACAGGTTACGGTGCGCTTGAAGGTGTTTGATGAGTTGAGGGGGCCGAGTGTGTGGCCTGGGGAATACGATGGGAGGAGTTTGAGGATGAGGAGTTTTAGAGAGGTGCAGGAGGGGGTGCAGCTGGAAGAGGTGAGGAGGAGGGTGAGGGAGGAGGTTAAGGGGGTGGATGGGGGGTTTGGGGTTGGGCTTCAGGGACGGGCGGCGATTTGGGCGGGGACGGGGGTGGGGTTGGTGAGGGGGGTTGAGGGGGCGCGGGAGATTGTGGAGGGGATAAGGAGGGACGTTGGGGAGGTTTTGGGGAGGGTTGCGAGACTTTAGGTAGGGTTTGTTTGGTAGGCGCAGATGATTTGATAGGGACACGTCCTCATCGGAGAGAGTTCGAGAAGTGAGCTCGTGAAGATATTGTTAAAGCGTCGAAAGTCTGAGATCCGCATATTCGCGAGGTAGACGTGGATGAATGTACGACTACCTACAAACCAAAGTCGTCGAAGTCATGAGTGCCGTATGCCTTGGTGGGAACTGTTGGTTGTGCATTGGTCGCGACAGTGAATGAGGGTGAATACCGTTCGAGCTTCGATATTTTGGTAGAGCAAAAACTACAGTTTGCCCTGCGATGGGCTGAGGAGAGCATGAGTTGATTCGAAAAGGTGAGGCTGTGACTTGCAATTTGAGCAAACATGCAGCCTCGTCCTCGCATGCAGGTGGTCGTCTCGATCGGGCTAGCTTCATATACGGACGATCAGGCTGCTGCCTACATCGTTCTTCCCCGCTCTTACAACATTTCATCCAACATGGGGTCAGCTGCCGGCAACGAACCCTGATACCTCTCCAAGAGGCCGGCATAGCGTCCAACAAGAGTTACCATGGCTTCACGAGAGCCCCCTCCGTTCGTCACACACAGATGCCGATCTTGTGAACACCTTGATACCGATAATTATTTTGATGTGGTTCCCGAAACACGCCTGGTTCATGCTAGGACAAGGGAATGCATGCCTGATTCATGCCTTTTCGCGCAATTCATCATATCATGTGTTCGCTGGATCCAGGAAACGTCCCCGAAAGTGATACGGAACGTGGAGGCGACCAGAGACGGATACATCAACGTCTGGTACCAACATGAAAATTATTCCAAAAGTGCTTTTGAATGTCTCCAGTTATCCAGTGGTCAGGACGAGTTATGTACGTAAGCAATCGGTGGTTCGAAGCATTGTGGTTCTGCTGATCTTGTGCAGCTGGTATTAGCGGCGAGCTTCAGTCGTTGGAACGGCGTAGTACCACGAGGATCCTACCTGCGGGAACATCATCCGAAGAGTCTTTACGAATGGTCGCAGATCTGCTCGACGAATGTCTCAACACGCATGATGGATGCCGTAAACGTTGGGAGCACGATCCAGACGGAAGGGCCCAGAATCTTCGGTTCCTTCACATCCAAGAGACATCATTGAAGTTGACGGAAATGGCACGGCCTACCCGATACGTTGCTCTAAGCCATTGTTGGGGATCTGGTGCTGAGATTCTTAGGACAACGACACAGACCTTCCAAGACTTCAAAACACATGGGATAGCCGTCATCAACCTTCCAAGAACATATCAAGACGCAGTGGAGATTAGCCAGAGATTAGGAATCCAGTACTTGTGGATCGATAGTCTTTGCATCATCCAGGACGATCCTGAAGACTGGCGAAATCAGGCTTCACGTATGGCAGAAGTCTATCAAGGCTCAACCATTACGATAGCAGCTTCCAGAGCTGAAAACCCATCTCAGGGTTGCTTTACTAAGATCCCTCTGATTTGCCAGGGCGAGACGTTGCCAGACTATCCAGACATCGTGATACGCCGTGCGTTTATCCCTCCCACCACCTGCCAAACAAGTTACGGGGATCCCGATCCATGGCCAATCTATAAGCGAGCCTGGACATATCAAGAGCTTGTTCTTTCGCCTCGCGTCATCCATTTCCACGACGAATTGATGTGGTATTGCGCTACACTTGGACAGCGAAATCAAAGTGTGGCACAGAACGTCCAAGCGACATACCCTCAACCTGGCAACTGTTCGGAACCTAGATCGGTAATAGATCTCCAACATGATTGGTACAACACTGTGAAAGAATACTCATGGCGGGCTTTGACAGTCCCTACTGATAAATTGCCAGCGATCGCAGCATTAGCATCACGACAGCAAGAGCTACGAGTCAACGACCAATATTTGGCTGGACTCTGGAAAGATACCCTATTGCCTGATCTACTGTGGTGTATGCGTCATCCTGAGGTGGAAGTACCAGGGGGCACAATTACCAGCGGCAACATCCCCTCTTGGTCGTGGGCATCGAAAACAGGGGGCGTATTTTGGTGCCCAACGATATACCCCATGCAGTTGAGGTGTGTCAAAGTTATGGATGTGAATTACATTATGAAGGGTCCCATCTTCTCTGGCGCCATCACAAAAGCCGAGATCGTGCTGAAAGCACCCATGATCTCTAGGACCACTTTGCGAGACACAAGGCTTGTTAAGCGTTTTCAACAATTGCCTAATCGCGATGAGGCACAAATTTCACATCCTGATAGTGCACTACTGGATATAGTTGCTGTAAGATGCATATACGACAACGCAAGACCGACGCCGTCGATGGGCATTGGCGCACAGCCAGAGTCTTTTGTCATACCACTCTGCCATCCCGACTCGCAAGTAGGGAAAGCTCGTGGTGAGCATTTTGGACTCACTGGGCTGTTAGTCATTCAAACCGCCAAACCAGGCCATTACAGACGCATTGGCATTGCTGTTATTACTCTCCAGGGCTGCTTGCTCCTTGCTAGCAAGCGGCCAAGATTCAGATTATCCGAGAAGCACCGCTCCGCGGAAGTCGAGTACGAGGAGTTGTTCATCGACAAAATCGAGAACATGGAAAGTCATGTCATCACTCTGGTTTGACACCGTAGAGGTGCCAAAGCTTCATCTACACGCCCTGGATATCAGCCAACGATTTGTATCCCAACACCCGTAAATAGGTTTTATTTGCACGACGCAGAACACCACTGAAGGCTGGTAGATCTAGGTCTCGGATAAGCCCGGCATCTACGCTTTTCTATGGTATTATCGATCACAAACGAACCTAAGATTGACACTGAGCGGAGGCAAACGTCCTTCGGGAACCAATACACAGTTTTTTCTCGAGCCTTGGTCATCATCCGAGCCATTCCGGAAGTCATGTTCCCAAGAGTCAACTGCCACTTACAAAATTTCGCTGCATTCTTGCAATTCTAGTTCGTTAGCTGCAGAATAAAGTTAGCCCGGATCGAGCCCCTGCTAGTTTACGCGTCCTATCACAGCGACCGGGCTGTTAGTGTATTAGCATTGTGCAGTTTGCCTATCACTCTTGCTCCCCTCTTTCTTGGTGAAATACAGTAATTTGCAGATGTTAAAGTTGAGTAAAGTAGATCAGGTCGAACTTTTTGCTCTTGTCTACGAGGATACAGTCGGCCCAGATACGCCTTGCCTTGATCGCTACGGCTTGCTTGAGCTTGTTAAGGCAAAAGGAAGTACGAGTCGTGTCACAAAACCAGCTGTACAATGCGGCTTCGTGAACTAACTGGTGTGCCCATGGTTTTGCCGTCCACTTTCCAAATCAACCTAAAACAGGGGTTGTTAAAATATGCATTACCATTTCTTATATTCACACAAATTCGAGACACCTGAAAGGCTGCAATGTCAAAGCTTTTAGACTACTAGGCGTGGATAATGCCTGTTGTGTATCTAGACGATCTCTAGCATGTATGCACCCATCGGGCGGTCGTAGCAAAGGGCTCTGGGCTGGAATGAAGAATGTTGTCTTTCCAGAACGTCCCCATGAGTATC